GGGATGTCCCTCCTACAGGCCACACGACTTGCTGCAGACAGACGCCAGTGTCTCCCCGCGACACCCCAGGGTACAAGCGGAAGAAAAAAAGTAAAAGTAAGTAAGAGCCTTAGCATTGGTCACCATAGATTCTTCTCTGGGTTCGTCGGTTAAGATCTCGGTTCGCCTAAGATCCCGTATTTCCTTGCTCCCGAGCACCGGGATCTTAGGCGGAGACTACTGTACTACGGACAAAAATAAGCTCTTCTGTCCCCACAGGAAAGGAGAAAACCACAACCTTCATTAAAAAATGATAAAAGGTTGTATACCAAACGAAGAAGAACATACTTCCAGCATTGCTTTTTCTTCCTGCAATTTATCCACCTGCTCCTTGGACCTCTGTCTTGATGCACTGAGGATTTCCTCATGCTGGCCACGAGACTCCTCTGAAGCTTTCAGTTGAGTCTGATAGGATTTAAAGAGCAGCTCAATGATGCATTATTCACTACAAGACTAAAGCATAACATTTTAGAATTTATGTTTTACAACTGGCAGAGGCACATTGTCAGTTTCTGCCAAGTAACATTGAAACAGTATATGCAGCTCTCAATTCACATGTTATCTTTTCTAGAATGTTTACAATTAAAAATAATTTTTGTGATAGACCTTTCACAAGATTGTTACAACTATCCTCACCTCATTTCATTAGCATACAACATTACAAAAGCAACAATCTATTTTTGATATTTCTTGACAAACACTTTTCAAATCACCATTATAAACCTTCACGTATAGTGAATAAATTAGAGGATTTATTTTTAACTTCCTTCTATTATGAAACTTTAAACACAGATTTCTTGACATAAAATATGACCAAACTGGCAAACTGAAAACATGTCAGACATTTCTCAAACATGAGCATTCAAGTAAAAATAAAATAAACAATTTGCAATTATAATTGATAATATTAGTGTTGGGTGAAGTAATTGGGTAAAGTAACAAATTGTGTTGCACTTTGTAATGCAATATGTATTTTCTGAAAATGTCCAGAATTTAGCAGTCAGAAGAAATCTTGGATGGGAAGCTGACAAAGGATGGTTACCTCCAACTGTCTGACATGACCATCAAACTGGCCTGAAAGCTCTTGCAACTGCTTGTGAAGGAGTGCATTTTCTTCAATCTTGTTCTGCAGCTCTTCATTGAAAACACTTGCTCCACCATTGAGAGCTGCAGCTGCCAAAGATCTCTCCGGTGTCGATGGTTCTGAGCTTTTGCTCTGAATAAATATGCAAAGAATAAGCACACAAGTGACAAAATTAGAATAATAGCAACTGTTCTCCAGTTGTATCAATCAATCTATGACAAAGATAGAAAAGGTATGCACATTTTAAAAATACAAACAAACTTCCAATCAATCGTTTCTAAAAGATTATATCATATCAATACAGAGTAGGACTTAAGCACATACTAATTTCTAAATTAGAACACATATACCACACTATAAACTGTACTAACAATCAGGCAAACCACAAAAGTAAAAATATTCTGTGCTGCAGGTTCTGGGGAAAACCAGCAAGAACTAAAGATTATGTCATTTCAAAATGAATGTTGACCACACAAGAAAAAGGTTCACGGCTTACTAGCGACAACATTTCCTTACCTTGTGCTTCTTCTTACTGCTTGTTTCGGCTGACTCTAGCTCTTCTTGCAAAAATATAACTCTTTTCGACAGCTGTTGATTCCGAAACGAAAGACTGTCGACTTCTTGCTCATACTTTCGTACTGTTTGGTCACGTTCCTTTAACACTTCTTTGAGATTGTTCACTTCACCTTGTTCATCCAGATAAGCCTTTTTCAAAACAGGAATCTGTGCCTTTAACTGAAAAGAAATAAAAATCAAATCATAAAAAATGAAAATAAAACATGCTATTAATCAAATAGGTTATAAATAGAACTAGAGGTCTTAGCTGTGACGTCACGAGTGTCAAACTTGAGGGGCGCGCCGCCATTCCGGAGAAGAATAAAAGGCCAGTCGGTGCACAGTCTGTTTTTCCCCTTGCAATTAGGTTTGTTGTAATTTTCTTGAAAATATTGATTTGTGGCAGTTTTAGATTTTAGTGGTTATATGATGATCAACAGGAAAATAATATGGCTATTCAACCCCAAAAAACAGTGCACCTTAGGACTGAAAGTAAAAATTTAATTACACTCAAAATAGGGCTACTAGATATATCTGCTGCAGCCACAGTACACTACAGGGCGATTTTGTAGTTTTGTTCGTTAAAGTCAAGAGTAGGGGGGGTTTCAGGCCCCCTGATCTAATAAAAATATGGAGGGGGTGGG